CCTGGGCCATAAAGCCGAGCATGCTTTCTAGCTTTATTTATTGTTTCTGATCCAACCTAATAAATTTAAAAATGCAAACTACAATTATTAACTGTCAAAGGCCTCAGAAATCTGATTAATCTTAAACTGATGAAACATGCAGAATACGCTGCTTTGATATAAAGGATCAAATGAAAATATGTCATTACACCAAACATCATATAAGAGAATTAGTCAGAAATTTCAGAGAATTGAGATACGGATTGGTGAACTGAAGCCACTAAAGGGTTTAAATTTTAAACTTTGACAAATCCTAATTAATATTACTTACTTTTAATTCTTTTATGAGTTCATGGTATTTAAATTTTAGGGCAATAATTGAAAGGATACGAATTTTACCATCTGAACCTCGTTTATTTGAAAGCATTGTATCTTTAAAGATATCCCAAAAAAATTTATCTTGCGGATTTGGTTGTGGATCTGGTGCTAGTACTGAAATATTTTTATCTAATTGAATCACATTACTTTCATAAAGGTTTTTTAGTAACTCTCTATCTGCAGTAGGGTCTAATGCTTTGCTCCAAAATTCTATAGACGATTCTTTTTTTGAAACAGGTGTTACATTAGTACATCCACAAGCAATAAACATTGCTCTCCATGCTCGTAATTCTTTTTCTTGAAAGATATATTCAGGTGGGTAAATTTTTTTTAATATGAGTGGAAATTGAACAATAGAACTTCTTTGCTGATACCAATCACGAAAAAGATGTGGCCAATTAATCATTGTATTGGGAATCTTGCGCGATTTTATATGACGAATAAATACTTTTTCGAGTTGTTGCATATTAATCCAGTCACTAACTATACATGTTGGTGATTCATTTCTCAATATATTTAGACGTTCTTGAACCAATGCATCCGTAATTCCAAAGAGATATGTTCCAGTATATTTTTGATAAATTTCTATCTTTTTCCAAGTTTCATCTGGAGTTTCTCCTACAATTTTATTAACCAATACTGATTCTAAATATATTTCTATAATGCATTGATTTTCTTTAATTTTTAATATAAAAAGATGTTGTGCGCCATGATATCGTTTAATGAATGAAGAAACAAATCCAGTACTGACTCCATAGAATCTACTGACATCCAGGTTACCAATGTTTGTTATTATCACAACGAGCTTTTCTATGTGAAGAAATATTGGAAAAAATACTATATCAATAATTAAGCTTCGAATAATTTCCTCATTTTCGAATCCCATTACGGCCAAGCCAGAGTATTCAGTTCTTGTATTAAAAACTGTTTGGTAGCATGTATTAATTGCTGTTGATGGACTTGACATAATATTTGTTTTGGTTGTTTCACAGGTACATTGAAAACCTGGTTTTAGTAGATTTTGATTTTTAGATATAACCGTAATAGTGAAAATTTTACTATTAAGTTCACATGCAATGCATATGTTTAAGCGATAAGGTATTACCAGGTTCTTTATTTCAGATTTTAATGTTTCCCACCAGGTTCTACCCCAAATTCCATAATGCAGTTGTGAGACTATAATACCCACATTTAAAATTTTTGAATTAAATGTTTTTTTTCTAGGCATTAAAATGTATGCTCGATGATGAATGCGTAAGTATTAATTATATGAATGGTGAAAGTTTATATTAGAGCTATTTCTAGCTCGATAAATCTCAAAATATCAGGTTTTTATAACCAAAAGAAAATTGTGAGATCACAAAGGAGCGTGCAAAACCAACAAGAATACAAATTAGAAGAATATGAAATCACCCAGAAGTTTTTTTTTTTATAAAATAGATGTAACTTGGAAATTTGATGTTTAGTCAAGGTAATTTGATGTTCTTTTATACGATTCTTTGTTGTGATTTTTAATCATTTTACGAAATATTTTCATTAAAGCTTTGAATACATTTCCTTTTCCTTATTCTCAATATAAATCAAAGTAATCCAAATGATCTAATTATAATC